ACTTATTTTGCCAAAAATGCATTAAAGCAGCTGTTTAAATGTGAACTGAATGTGCGGAGCCACTGGAGATTCCAGAAAACATACTGGCGTCATCGTCGCTCGCCGTCCACCACAGCAGCCATCGAAATCCGCAGTGCCGCTTATTTATAGGTGCGGCACGGATGTGATGTATGATGCGCCACTGCTGTTTCAGGGAAAAGCTTGTGCTGGATGAGGGGCGCCCGCCTGTAGCTCGTCCATGCTCCCATGTTATCTGAGCTTTTATTATGGAATATTTTCACAAAAGACGCAATTGTCACATTTGTTGTCCAGAGCTGCTGCTGCTTCTACTACAACCACTACAACGAAGCCGGCCAGCTGCTAGCAGCAGCTTGAGCGCTTTTCGCTTGGCACTCGCCAGTGCCAGAAATAATTGCACCGTCTGGGTTGCTCGTCGAAAACTTTCAGTGGTTACTTTTGATAAGAACGGTTTTTCCCGTTCTTATCAAAAGTTCATCCGGGTGGTCGTTTTTTTTGTCTAAAAAATCCCACTGATTAATAGCGATGCCCACTGGTTGTAAGCCAAGCGAGCGATGTGCCCTGCTCAGCGGATACTGTTTTATCGCGAGGTTACCACGATGCCATCCTGTAAGCCATTTATTTGACGGTGCGCGTCCTGACTTCTTGACCTGGTCAAGAAGGCATGTTAGAGAGATGCTCCTGTTCAATGCTCTCGTCGTCGCATTCCGCTTCTTGCGCCCCCTAATTGCGTTTTGCATCCACTGGGGAATTTTCTTTGTTTACTTGATAATTAGATTGCAGCACTCGCTCTTTCTAAGTTGTTTCGAGGGAAAAAAACCTTTTCTTATGCATAGATAGAGAACAGAATCTTTGTCCTTTTCACTCGTTCAACACTTAACTGAGCCGTAATTTGCATGGCGCATTGGGACTGTCTTAATGACCATGATTCTTGATCTCGCTGGCAACTTCAACGCCTAGAGAAGCTGATAGGCTGGATGAAGTGCGCTTTATTTCACTTATATTTGCATAAATTTTCTCTCTGTCACAATGAGCAAATTTCGAAAATATTATTCCTCAGTTCATCAGTGTCCTGTTTTTATATGGCTATACGAGTCGGTACTACTGCGTCCGGCATGTGAAAGCAACCAGTGGCATCATTAACACAGGATTCTTATACCGATTGTCCAGGCGATCCTGCTGTTCTTCCTCACTAGTATCGTTTGCTTTTCCGTTTTATTGCGTTCCAGGTTTAGGCTCGTGTAAATTGCAACGCTACACCTCTTATCAGCCTGCTAAAAGCTGCCACAGTGTAAACTCATCATGCTTTGACACTGCTTCCCATCCTTCTCTTCCTGTTTTCCCGACTATAGCTCAGGCATTTGCAAATCCTTAAAACACGACTTGATAGCTGGATCGGATTTCAGCAACACGACTTGATAGCTGGATCGGATTTGCAAATTGCCCGGACTGCCAAGATTGTCTAGGCAGTCCGTGTGAAAATCCGATGTTAATATTATCACTAGGATACACCCAGCTGTACCAGGCATCGGTCTTAAGTTGTATTTCTTTAGCCAGTT